GGGGGGAAACGACAAGTTTTGGCTCCATTAAGATGGATCAACATGGCCAAGGCTGAAGTTTAAAGAGAAGTTAGTTTGCTCAGCTCTTGCTTAAGCCCCAAAGCAAGGCCAGGAGCCTTGGAGGGCATTGGCAAGGCCAGCTGAAGATTAGCAAAATCCTCTTTAGGAAGAGAGTTTTACTTCCACTTATTTTTTCCTGCCCAGGAGGACTGTAACCCTTTGCATTATCAGGCTGACCTTCAGAATGGCTCTGTTCTGTGCAGAGCAAGAGAAATTCAGGCATTTAAAGCTATTAAATGAAAGTGTTCATATGTTGACCCACAGGAGCTAGCAAGACAGGTTTAGAAGTGGGCACTGTACAGATATAGATAACAAGAGGATGAGTAATGCTGCAATCTACAGCAAACACCCCAAACTTTTTTTTGAGCCCTAAAACACTTCTATCTTCCTCTTAGAGCACAGGCAGTTCCCCCTGGTGCTGGGGACCCTTGCCCATGGCATGCGCCCAGACCTGCTGCCCCAGCACTCCTGTAATCCCAGCTCAGCCAGGCATTAGCACAAGGGCAGCCAGGAGGGCAGAGGGCCGGACACCTACCCCACACTGAGGCTGCAGGCACCATGGCTCCACCCCAGCAGGACTGGCCAAGTCCGAGCTTCACAGTGCCCAGGGGTGTTACCATGCTGTGTCCCATGGGTCCCAGGGCCCCCTGCCTGGCCCATCACCACCAGCCTGCACTGACACTGCCCCCAAAGCCTGGCCCTGCTGGCTGCCAGGTGTGCCGCTGCAGCCAGCGGCTGGGGACACAGAGGGCACCCCTCCACGAGAGCAGGCATGGCAGAGGCAGCTGCCTGCAGCACCAGCTCACCCCCATGCCACACAGGACAAGAGCTGGGGGATTTTGTCACTGGGAGATGGGAGTACAGGGGCAGAGACCCACAAGCAGGGCAGCAGTCATGCCATTCCATGAGTGGAGTGCAGCAGCTTTATTAACAGGAGGTGAACACAGAATTAAAACCTGTCCTGGGGACTAAAACTGACCCAGACCCTGAGGGCCTGGGCCCAGCTGGAAGCAGGGCTGGGCTCCCACAGGGAGCAGGGCCACCCAGTTCCCCTTACTGAGCCTTCCTGCCTGCTGGGGCTGCCTTCCGCAGCCCAGCCTCCCCCTGGCCGGCTCCTAGGGCTGCCCGGGGCTTCCTCGCCTTGCCTTGACCCTGCTTCGCCTTGGGGGCATCTTGCTGTACCCCCTTGGGTGCCTTCCCCTTGCTCTTTCCCACTGGGGCCTTTCGGGACCCCTTTGCCCCAGCACCCACAGGGCTGCCACCATCGCCCCCTCCTGCACCCTCAGCAGCCGGAGCCGCAGGGGGCCCTGAACGCCCTTTGCCAGGGGCACGGGGGCGGCTGGCAGCCTGCAGGGTCTTCATTCCATTGCTCCTGGGCTTCGCTGCCGCTGGCAGCCGGGCCTGGAGGGGAGAGAGCACCTCAGGCTGCTGCCCTGCCACGAGCCACCCAGCCTCACCCCTGGGCCCTACTCACATCTATGGGCTTTGCCCTCGGCTTCCGCTTCACCGCTGTCGGCTTCTCCTCCACAGCGCCTGTGGGAGAAGGGGCAGTGGATGAGCCCAAGCAGGGGCCTCTCCATGGGGTCAGAGCAGCCCTGGGGTGGCTCATGGCACCACTAGCCCTTTACCTTGCTGTCGCGCACCCGCCGCAGGGGCCCGGGGGGGCTTGGCGGTCCCTTTCCATCCTGGCTTTGGGACCTCTCCTCTGTCAGGATCCGCCTGGCCCGGTGGCTGCTTGTGCCGCAGCTTCTCAGGGGCTAACTGGGGATAAGAGAGGGGTGAAAGTGGGGTCAGGCAGCACCTCAGCCCCCAGCCCCGCCGCTTCAGGGCAGGCAGCCCCCTGCTCACCTTGAAGCGGCCGGTGGCCCCCATGGCGGAGGAGTTGCGGGGCCGCACCAGGTCCCCACAGCTCAGCCCCTTGCTCAGCGCCCGCTTCAGCAGGTACTTGAGGCGGATGGGGTCCACAGTGGGGTACTTGGCCAGGATGAACTGCTTGATGGCAATGACAGAGGTGCCCTTCTTCTCATCCTGGGCCCGCAGCGCCTCAATGACCATGTGCAGGGTGGGGGGGTGTGGTGGCCGCCGGCCTCGGGCCAGCAGACCTGGGAGCCGGGCTGTGCTGGCAGCTTCGGCTGCTGGGAGAGGCAAGAGGCACCTCTTAGGACTTGGATCCAGCCCAAGGCACTCACACCCCTTGAGGGCTGCAAAGCCCCTCTAGAAGCCGAGCAGCCACAACCTGGTTTATCCCCGCAGCCTCACAGGGACCGCAGCCACCAGAGTCCCAGCCCCACGGCAACTGGCAAACCCCTTACCTGGTTGAGGCTCCATGGCAGCACGTGCACACCAGCCTAAAGCTCTGGGCCCAGACAGTCCCAGCTCTGCTCACAGTACCGCTGCCCCTACTCACAAGCTCAGTTCACTTCCAGCTAATTTATCTGATTAGCACCCTAACTACAGGGGCTGGTTAGCAGCTGCTAATTGCTCTGGTTGCCACCCTGGTGGGAGCAGGTGGCTGGGAAGCCGAGTGCCTTTTGCCAAAGCTTTGCGAGGGGCTGGAGGGAGAAGGGGTACGTCCGAGCAGAGGATTTGGAGAGGGGCCGAGAGACAGGGGGTTCGCAGGGTGATCGACGTGAACACGCAGGGGAAAGGCACCTGCCTGCTGCTTGGTGGGTGGCGGGGTGCTGGGACTGAACCTTGCTGACGGCACTTGCTGTGGGGCGGATGGGGAGGCGGCCCACGGCGTGGGACCTGCATGGGACCCGTTCCTGGTGCACTGATGTGACATACCAGCTCCCTTCACCTGGGACAGCCCCACTGGGAAGCGGGGGGCTGCACTGCCAGGGGAGCCTGATAACGGGAGGGGAAAAACAATCCCACAAACAAGAGGAAGAAAATGGAGAGCTGCTTTGCTGGCCAGCAAAGGCAGGAGGAGTGATTCTCCCACAGTAGCCCTAGGTGTGCACTCATGAGCAGGACCCCCTGCCTGCCGAATCCCACCATGCTCGGGGAGAGAGCTCCCAGCCCCACACGTGGGCAGCCCCTCCATGTCCCCTCTGTGCCAACTCCTGGCGCAGCAACCGCCCCATGCTGAGGACAGCATCATCCCATGGGCCAGGTGTGAGCTGAGCCCTCAGCCGTCTGGGGTCCCTGAGGTGCCCAGGGCACTTCTGTGGCATGTCTGTGTTAAAAATAAGTCCTCCTGTGATCCTGTGGACACCTTCCCCGCTGTGCCAGTGGGGTCGGATATTTATGCTACTTTCTGTTCTGCCTGGGCTCACGAGGCCAGCCTGAGTAATTCACCAACTGCTCTTTGGTGCAGGAACAGCGCGGATGTCCCCACCTTGGGGACCACTGTGTCTCTCCACAGTGCACCGCGTCAGTCCCTTCCTCTGTACGTGAGAGTCATGGGGCTTTCGTACACATCGTCTGTCAAAGCCGTGGGCGAGCTGCAAGCCTGAGGAAGGGCTGGGATTACGTGACAGCAGGGCTGGTTCACGGCCCAACTTGGCAGATGTTACCATGCCAATGTACATGCAAAGTGCTGCCCAGAAAGACCTTCGTCAAGGTCTGCGCCCACCTGCAGAGCCCAGGGGCGAGATCCTGGCAGAGGACCAAGGTGCCAGCAGAAGCCAGGACTGGAGCAAGGAGCCAGGAGAGGCACCTATGCCTATGCCCCGCATGCCCGGCTCCCCCCAGACCAGTCTGCTTCCAAATTCCCCAGGAAGGGGCCAGTGGGGACACTGAAGGGCTGCACGGGCTGGCACCACAGCAGACATGGGTGCATCTCTTCCAACCATCTCCTCCTCCTGGATCCAGCCATCACCTCTCTGGCAGCTCCATGATGCCTCCGGCACCTGCCTGAGTGTCCCAAACCCTCTCTTGCCTCTACCACCACCAGCAGCAGCCGCAGGGCTGGGAATCGCGTGGGGTGACAGCCTGTGGGCTCGGGCCAGGACATCTCCAGCGTGTGCTGGGGCCGGTCCGGCGTGGGCGGGAAAGCTGCAGTGCCAAGCATCACACGGCTCCCGTGGAGCACAGCCTCGCAGAGAGCAAATAAACACCAAATCCTTCCTCCTCTTCCCTCCAAAACCAGCTCCCAGATTTGAAGTACATGAATCAGACATCAGCCTAAACACTGAATTATTCATAAACCTCTAATCTTTAGATTTCACTGAATATGCAGAAGTATCGATAAAAAAAAATAATGAGAGAATTGTACTTGCAAATTGCTCTTTATTAAAGGTTTAACTTGCATGGGTTCTATATGTTCCCTATTAGACCTTGCAAAGCTGCATAGGATTAGAAATCAGAGAGGATAATAATGTACAAAAATAGTTTCAAATGTTGATAACACTGAACAGCGAGAAAAACATCTTATTTGTATAACTGAGCTAAAAATAAAAATGAAGAACACTGCTACAATTGCAATATGCCATCTTGTAGTGCTTAAAACATATGTCGACGTCTCTGAGCCATATGCTCCCATGTCTTGCCTGCTACAGCAGGGAGGGAAGCTTAGCAATGCACCGATCAATCCTCAAAAGCACAAGCAGTGGCCAAAACCTCCTACTTGGGCTGATGCCAAACTGATTACAGCTGAAACGGGGAGGTGCGCGGGAGGACGGGGAGATGAGTGTCTCAGGGCATGGCCCCAGGCCACAGGGGGCCCGAAGATGCCTAAGGAGGAATGGCAGCAGTACTACGGAGAGGGAGTGCTTCCTCCTGGGGGGACATCAAGTGGGGCTGCTGCTGAGGGTGCAAACACCGTGTGCATGTTGCTGCGCTGGGTGCCTGCAGGAGCAAGCACCGAGCCCTCCCTGAGCACATCCAATTGCGGCCGCACATGGCTGTGCCATGCTGTGCTGTGCCATGCCATGCCGCCAGGTCCCCTCCATGCTGCCTGCTTGCTGGGCAGGATCCGCAACCATCACCTCTGCAGCATGGAGGGGCCCATGTGCACGGGTGCCCCGTCCCATCCCCCCTGGAGGGGTCACAGTGCCTCCCAGGGCTTCTGAGGTGCTGGAGGTGGGGCAGGGCTGGAGCTGGGAGGACCTGGCAGGGCTGAGGGCACCTCACAGCAGTCAGACTTGCCCCCGGGCAGCCGGAGTGCGGCAGGGCCAAGTGGCTGAGTGGCACCAGCCAGGCACCATCTCCAGTGGCAGAGCTGGGAGGTGGCCCCAGCTCCAGCCCCCACGGTGGCAAAGGCAGGGATGTGTCCCAGCCCCTGCCGGGCTGTCGAGGTGGGGCAAGGGAGGCGAGGGTGGCTCCGCCGCAGGCTGGGGCTCGTGCGTGGTGGCACAGGGTATGCAGGCGTGGCGGGGGCGTCAGACCCAAGGGTCTGTGCTCGGAGCAGGGGGGCATGAGCTCTCAGCAAGTCAACAGAAAAGCACGGATTTACGCCAGTGGAATAGCTAAGCCTTTGCATTTTAATTAGAAAACGTGTGTACACATTTACAGCCTTGTTCCCAGGGTTCCTAGTGCCAGGAGAGAGGATCCTGCCCTGCGGGGCTGTGGCCGTGGTGAAGCGGGGGCAGGCAGTGGCAGCGGCGGGGCCAGGTTCGTGTTCCCGGGGTGGCGACACGCACCCCGAGGACTGGCCGCTCCAGCGGGGCTTACGCAGGAGAGACCTGGCTGGTGGAGACGGAGGAGGTCTCTGTCTTGCCAGCAGACGTGTCCTCATCGCCCAGTGGGTTCTTGCCACAGCAGAGGGTTGTGATCATACAGTTACGGAACTGGAAGAGAGGGAAGCCTGGGGTGAGGCAGGCGGATCTCAGGCAGCTCCGGCTGTGGGTCTGCCTCTGAGCCCGGCAAAGCTGCTGGGAAGCCCCCACCACTACAGCACAGGAGTCTCCTTCCCAGCTGCCTGCTGCCAGCCCCGCCTGCTTCCCGCCCTGCCTGCCACAGGGAGCCCGCACCGACGCAGTCCCAGCTCCTCCACCAAGCCATGGGTGAGGACCATGACCTCCACCTGGGTCATTTCAGATGGGATGGGCTTGCATTTATGAGATTTGTGCAACACCAAGGATGAGCTGCACAGTCACTCTCCTGCATGCCAGAACAAGATCACCTGGAAACAAACTCCTCTCCCAGCTCACAGGTACCTCAAAGTGCTGTAACTCTCTGCAAGCTGTTACAAAGCGAAACACAAAAAAGGAGATCTCCTGGCATCCTGCCAGTTACCTGTTTGTTCATTACAATGTAAATCACAGGATTGTAGATGGCGGAGCTCTTGGCAAAGAAAGCCGGGATGGTCATGAAGATGGGACCAAAGTCCGACCCCTGGTTGGTGAAGATGTAGAAAGCAACGCTGGCATAGGGGACCCAGCAGATCAGGAAGGCGATGACCATGATGATGACCATGCGGGTCACTTCCTTCTCTGCCTTCTGGGTGGTGGCAGACTCCTGCTGCTGGGCGGCAGCCTGCGGGCAGAAGGGAATGGAAACGTGATGGAGCTGGGGAGGGCTGCGCCGGCATGGGACGCGGGGTCAGGGCTTGGGGTAGTTGAGCCGCACATCTGGAGTTTGATATTTCCCCCTTCATGGAGGGCCAGCCTGGCCCCCCGAGGGCCCTTTCTGTCACCAGTCTGGAGCCTGGCGTGGGCCCCTTCCCAGCACTGGGGACGGGGGTGGGCCCCAGTCCACCACCACTGGCAGGTACCCACCTCCTTGACAGTGCAAACCAGGTTCCCATAGCAGAAGAAAATGACTGTCAGCGGGATCATGAAGTGAACCACAAACATGTAGATGACGAAAGATTCGTTGTTGATCTCTGGCTTCAGAGTGTAATAGTCGATCCCGCATGAGCACTGCATGCCCTCGGGGATGTACCTGCAAGGTGAGCCAGGCAGGTCAGCGCCAAGCAGAGGAGACCAGCTGGAAGCCACGGGCGAGTTGCCGCCAGCCAGGCTCCCGCAACCCCAGGCGCCGGGCACAGCGCCCTCCCTACCTGGACCAGCCAAACAGCGGGGGAGCTGCGCACGCCAAGGCCATGATCCAGGAGAAGGCAACACCCATGATGGCATGGTTCTCCCCGAAGCGGAAGTTGCTCATGGGCTTGCAGACCACTACATATCTTTCGACAGCCAGGACAACCAGCGACCAGAGAGCAATTTCACCTGCACCAGGGAGAGAGAGGGATGGGGACACAGGGACTTTGAGCAACAGGAGGAGAAAAACGCACTGATGGCAGCACGAGGCCTCCTTGGACTGTTGTTTCCAAGGAAGACCCCTGGCAGCAGGTAAATCTCCACCAAGGGTTTGGAAAGAGAGATGAACAAAGGCCAAGTGCAGATGCTGTAGGAAGGCATGAGAAGACACCTCCTCACTGC